TTACCCACGGCCGGTCTACTATTACATAAATAAAAATTTATTTTTTGTTTAATGTCTTATTAATGTATCTACTTCTTTAAGTAAGGCGATATAGCTTCTATACTTTACTTGTAAAACGTCTTATTTGATTCCATTAGCACGAGGATTTTGGGGTCGAATCCAGAAGATAGTAATTACAGTGTTACGGACCGCCTTTGTAGTTGAATAGTTAAGCATGTTGCCTATCACTGCGTTAAGCGGGAGAGGTCTTAAGTTTAATTTACGGGGAAACAATAGATTATTTCAGTCGGGCAGAACACAGATATACGTTCTCCCCATGCCCCATTGGATTTCACTTTAATAGCGTTTCGGACAGATTGGTATTCACACTCATTTTTGTATATTTTAGGTCTAATGTCGAATTAGTAGACTGCTCGCGCTAATGTAGCGCCCTTAAAAAGATTAACGGCCGTGGCCTTCGGACTGCTGACGTCAATTGTTTTCAGCAAATGTAGCTGAAAACGAGTGACCTTGTCTCAGCAATAAGGCTGGATGGGGATCTAAAAATACCTATAGGTCAGGGGTCGGTGCTACATCAATCAATTCTATGGATAGCCACAGATCGTCTGCCAACAGATCTCGCATATGTCCATAATGTATTGGATGGAGCGACTTTTATTTTTTTTGAAACTTATAATATTGTTTAGTTAGTGTCTAGTCAAAAATTGCATTACTTATAATTACATACTTGTAATATAAATAAGCATTCATACAAATTTTTGACAATATTGGCTTAGCCGTTTGGAAGAGAAAGAATAGTTTAGATTTTGACGGGCTCGTCCATGTAATGTTTGCAATTTATGGGTCGAAGGTTCGATCCCCATCGTTTTTTTTTCTAAACAATATATAATTTTTCTGAAACATGTCGGGCATCGTCGGGAAATCTGGATCTGAAATGGTAGAAATATCGAAATACCGTCCGAGTCACGAATCACCGTCCACTGATGAAAAAGACGTAGTGTAATCGCGTTTCGGCTTCAGTCTGTGGTTTTCCCAATATCTAAAGCCAAATTAGATGTTAGCGCATATGAGCTGGTATAGGCTGGGCATTTCATCTAAGGGAACCTGCTTAGCTTGTATGGCCTCTATCATTAAACAATCGAGTCATCTTTAAAAAAAAATACATTTAGCGTGTAAACCGTTAAAGTGTGTTATAAAATGTGTACTCGTAGCAGGCAAGACTAAGAATAAAGCTGTTTATAGTACGTCTTGTATATACATATGTACGAAGTCGTACCCTCCCCTTAGTAGAGTAACCTATCTCAAAGGACTCCGAAAGCGACCTTGAAGAGATTTTCTTTCTATTACCCCAATGTCAAAGCCGCCTTTGTAGTCTCGTCTGTAATAAATTCTTAGGGATTTGTAATTTTCAAGGTTAAAATACGATTTAGATCCTAACGTCACCGAACTTTCACGTTTGTTATCACAGCTGTCTTAAAATATTCTTAACTAGCTGTGCGAGCCACTTCGTCCGCGTAGAAAAGTAATTTTGGGCATCCAAATTTCTTTTTGCGAACCTCATTTTCATCTTTATAAATTTAAACTATTACTCAAAATTTTGAAATATTACCTTCGCACTTTTTAAATCATGATTGCATTCCTTCATACATATTTTTTGGCTATCTTGATCCGTTTTTGTAGCGTACGCGTCCAGAATCCCACCGAGATAAATAATTTCCCCCCGTTACTTCCACATTTCCCGCTGTTTTTTCGTCCTACTACTCACAGTGCGTATAATTTATATCCTATAACCTCCCTCGATAAAGGCTTTAACTAACACAAAAAGATTTTTTATTTCGCACCAGTAGTTCCTGAGATTAGCGCGTTCAAACAAACAAATCAACTCTTTAGAAACTTCAGCTTTATATATTGGTATAGATACTGTATATACAGCTAAAAACCTTATGAATTAATTAAAATAATAATTATTTTTCCATCTGACAGTCGCTAAGTGAATATTGATTATTGACCACAGTGATATGAGTCGAGTAAGTTTCGACACGTAAGGTAGCTCGTTAAATTTTATTATCTCAAATCAATCACATTTTAATGTGTTTTGTAACATTACAAAATATTTTCAATTCCGTAAGGCTTACCCCTACTGTAAAATTAGTAAAGAGCACGTTCAAGAGCAAGTAATTGTATAAGAGACAATTCGCGTTTAATACTAAAACTAACTGAAAAAAGACAGCATTATTCCTTATCGGTATTTTACACGAGTAATACACAATTAAATAAAATTGAATTGTTAATAATTTAAACATATTTCGCGTTTTATACCGTTAAAAGTGTTTTTTATCGTTTTCTATTAAAGTAAATTTTGGGACTAATTTCATCTACAAACCCTCTTGTATTAAGTATTATATGTTACGTTCTTCCTGGAAAGTGGTCATAACATAGAGCTTTTTGTGATCGTAATTATGTCATCATTACAAGTCTCCGTTCATAATGAGTTAGTGTCGTGCATTCGATGGCAAAGAACCGAATCAATTCTAACCAAGAACTGATCTGATTCATTAGACCCGTTCAACCGATTGATTGGGTAACAATTTTGAAAACGGGACGTAGTGTTACCGCCTTACGTTTGAGCTGTGTGATTTCGTGGGTCACTACAAACGGATTCGTATTTTCTGCCGACAGTGGCCGCTGCTTGTGGCTTGATTAGTTGCCATACATATGTTTAAGACGCTTCGGCAGGTCACATTAGTGAGAGTTTCGTTGCCAAGTCTTAATTCGAATCGCATTTTGCCAACTATTACCACTTAGTGGTAATAGGGCGCACCAAGCAGCAATGCGGTCAGCCTCAACCAAAAATACCTAATGACGTAAATCCACTTCTTTAGAACAAATGAACGATTCGATCACCTTAATTTTAAGATCTAGTTCTTTTGGCTCGTTCAATTCCAGACGACTTAAACGAAATTTATTATCAACTCTCCAATATATCATGCTTATAATGATTTTATTTGTCACAGAGCTTCCTCTTGTTCCGTAATGCACCGGTAGAGCGTTATACTCGTGTCCGCACACGCGATCTGCGCATTGATACGTGTCATTTATTTAATTGTAATTTCATACACTGTTGGTTCTTCATATGTAGGAAGAATAATTCGCATATTTTAATCTACAATTAAACAGCCATTAATTGCGTATTACAGTATCGTAATAACTTTTATTTGTTCATCTAGTTCAAAGTTTAACTACTGCATTCGGCACGCGGCCCGGAAGATCTATTACAGTAACAAATTTGATGGAAAATTTGTGGTAAAATAACAGGATATATTATGAAAAATGAAATAATGATAATTTAATATTCATGAATGCCAAATAAAAAAAAACCTTATGCAACGGATTAAATCAAATTATGTATAACTATTAATCCGATTCTATAGTGTGAAATAAAAATGTTTACGAGCCGTTCAACTTTCATTGTGACATTTTTATGACTACTATAAGCCATTCATTGTATTTAAACCAGTTCTAAATTATATTTTAAGTCAATGGCTGTAATCAATGCACAGTATCGTGATAGAGAGATAAATAAGATTTGCATTAGATTTCGAAAGGTTGATAAGTGCTACTATTTATTTGTTTTTATTGATTTCTTGAGTGATACATCGTCGTACAAGTTACAGTAAAATAATGTTTATAATAACGTGCAATTTCTTTACAAATGATTACAAAACATTGATAATATGCTCTTCATATCGAAGTATCCTCAATATTCTGTATATTATTCACGTTAAGTATAAAACATCGCCATAGTTTATAATTTGTGATTTAAATAAAACACTTTAACGGTTTAAAACGTGATATATTAGTTAAACTTATTTGAAAATGATTTTTTTTCGGACGTTTCGGATGCTTTGCAGCAGCCGTGGTCACGGGGAGACAAAATTCAGTTGTCAAAAAAGTTGTTTAAATATATTTTTGGGAAGTAAGGAATTTGTATATATGTATAACGTTTACTTGTAATATACCTAGATCATTTTCTTGTTCTAATAAATAATCCACAGAAGCTTACAAACATTAAAAAAGAGTTTTAGGAAAATATATATTTGATGCAGATTTGTTTTGATCTTATTGCGTGTGCGCCTTCGGGACAAGGAGTTTGATGCTGTCATACTCCTGCACCGCACTATACAATGATTACTATTTACAGCGAACAAATTAATTCTAATTATAAAAATATTTCGAATTATCCAAGTAGGTATAATAGCCAGAGGAAAGCAACGTAATTTCTCACCAAAGCCCATAAGGTTAACTATTTGAATGAAACATGTGTTGATAATTTCAATACTCGGAAGCTATACTATCGCTAAGTGCGTTGTTAAATGTGGATAGTTCATTATTTCCTTTGGACATTTATTAATGTAATAAGATATTAATTGGAATAGTCCATATACCATTTTGTCCTTGACAAATGCTTTGTCTGGATTTCAGTGTTCGATTCTCTTGTCCTTTGGATTGGAGCCAAGCTTAAAGTGTATTCTACTATTTTATATTTATTGAAGTATTTTACGATGTATGTTTCGTTATTCATTTATGCTTGAGATTCGATGATATATTTATTGTAAATATTAATTCTTTGTTGAAGATATCCTAGTATTCTCCTGTGTAGGGATTTTATTCATAACATTTCCTGTAATTGTTAGTAATAAATTTACATAATTATTATAACAAAACTTGTCTCGGAGAAACAATAGATAGTTTCGTCGGGTAGGGCTCAGAAGTGTGATCAACTACTTAGTTCAACATAAAACCAATCAGTGTAACAGACAGGGAAATGTGTCCGTCCTCTGGATTTGACTTTTATCTCTATAACCAACCACGTATACGGTATATCGTTTTTTAATAACTGTTTAACCGCAGTTTTGCATTTCAGTAAAAATTGTTGTCTTTAATTTCGCGATCTAGGACGAAATGGCTTTTAAAACTTCATAACTCTCTAAGTGCTAGGAATGAGGTCACGTCGAGCGATAACGAGGAGGAACGAATCGAAAATATTGCAGCGGCAACAACCGTGCTCGCAGATTTCCACTCGTCAGTACGTTTCCCTAATCCTCTGTTATTGCAATCGACAGCGCTGTGCATACAATCTTTGTTTTTCAAAATTGGAACGGATATAAAAACTTATTTGAGCATTTTGACAATTGACTTTTACCATAGATAAAACAAATGGTTTTTATAATTTGAAAGACTATTATTGTCTATTTATAGTTTTTGTGGTTTACGTTTAACTCGACTTACAAAACGGGTTTATGTACTGTTTATGGTTATTTAAAATTTAAATGAACTGAAAATATGGTTTCATCTTTACTATAAATGTAAGTATATATTCATTTTAATTTCCTTGAATACAAAATCCCATACACGTATTTCAGAAGTATAGATAGATACTTATTATTATATTACGTTGCGTTTTAAGGACCTCGGTCGAGTGAAGATCCTTCAGATTTCCCTAAGCTACTTTCTTCCTCCCACCCTCCCGTTGCCCCTCATCTTGCACTCCTTATAGGCCATGCATATATGTTTATTTTTTGTATAGATATTTAATCCATTTTTTTGTTCATTAAACTGATTAAATATTTGCTTTAAAAGTATGCCGTAAAGTCCTAAGTAAAGATTCTAAAGATAACACTAAACTCTCACATATTTACTCTTAAAACACCTAAATCTAATACATTCTAGTGTCATTAACTCTTAAGAACTTATGTCGCAAGGTTGTGCTAATAAGCGTCATGGTTTATGATGATATCATTCCTGATTCACAAGATATTCATTAGGCAACTGTTTGAATTGTATTAAGGTAGCCATCCTAATTTCACAATATAGTTTGTCTAGTATAGGATGATAAGTTTGACGATTAACAATAGGCATGTCATTTAGAGTCTCGATTGTTGAGCTTGAAATAGTAAGAATATAATAAAAATGTATGGATATTGATTTTTTTTTTTTGTAGTTATTCATGAATATGATATTCTTTCTAAGAGATATTACCTACGGAAAACTTTCCATTCTTCATGATCTGTCAAAAAACATTAGACAAAGTATATTCTAGAATATGCAGTATACAAATAATTTTGTTTCGCTTGCATTTTTGTTTATTTCGCTAAATGTGGAAATCCGATACGTACAGTATTTTGAAATTGTGTCAATAATATTTTGTGTTATTGTTTCGAATTTGAGTCATTCTTACGTTTCATTGTATTCAGTTAATTGCTCGTTACGTTCGCATGCGGTTTTTGCATTTGTTTTTATGCACAGGTCGTAGTCCATTGCCGGATTGAAAATAATTATTACGTCAATACACACTTTGTAGGTAATTTAAATATAAGACCTGATCCGACCATGATGGTATTTCTAAAAGATTTCTCTTATCAGAGACGTCAGCACTGTTTAATCTCTATACATATATAGGTAGATAGTGTCTGTATTTTACGCGAGTAGTACAGATTTAAATAAAACACTTTAATGCTTTAAATCGTGATATATATTAGTTAAACTTATTTGTTTGACGTTTCGGATGCTTTGCAGCAGCCGTGCTCACAAAGAGACCGCGATATAGTTAAATCTCTAGGTATATACAGATTCATATAACTAACAAATTTAGAAGAGTGAGGCATTTTGTAGGTCACAAAGAACCAATAGATACAGTATCGTTGAATTCAATTTCTTTCCTCGTTTGTTAACAGCGGACGCGAGTGTGGAAGTTGGAAGGTTGAGCCCGACACTATCAGTTTCCGAGCTGGGTGCTGACACGGAGATGGTGCAAGAGGGCGGGGCTGGGGCCGTGGACGAGGGGCTCATTGCGCCCCGCCGGCTCAACAACCCCTGTCTGGACAGTCCCGTGCGTATGGACCTGCATAGAGAACTACTCTTCAACCAGAGGATGTAAGTCACTCATCACGAAGTCAATAAGTTCAATACTGTTTGTAGTTTACGCGAGTAGTACACATTAAAAAAATACTTCAACGGTTTAAAACGCGATATATAGAACAGGGTACAGGGAAACAGGATTCGAAATTTAAATTACTTAAATAAAGTACATATAGGTACTTTACCTATCATTGGCCTCAACCTTTGTGACTATTAAAAGCCTGACTTAAATGCTAAGCCACCAACGGTTTTAATATTTTGAATAAAGTCTTGATTTACCTGTTTCAAATTCTCATGCACCAAAAGTTTATTACAATTATATTCAAATACCCAACCTTGAGGTCTTAATTAAACAGACTTATGAAGTATCTCATAAATTATGAAACTCGCTTCATTATTAAGATGATGCATTGTTTAAACTAGACTTCACGTGTATTTTGTAAATAGGTAATCACTGAGTGACTAATTTACTATAATTATAACTGTAAATGAAAATGAAGGTAGTCATTGTAAAGCCTTCGGGATCGTATTTGTAAATATAGTTTACGATTCAATCTATCATCAATATATTAATAATACTGAAGCACACTTTATTTAAATATTACAAAGTAGTGTAATTGTTTTATATGTGACATACGACAACATATACATCAGTTAAAATAATCCTTTGACCATTGTGTGAAAGCCCTTAGACCTAGTACTAAGATTCCTTTGGTATTAAAAATCTAATATACTATATACTACTGTTTAAACAATTGTCAATAAAACAATTGAATAAAAAATTCTTTCGTCTATAACATAACAACATGTCATACCTACGTTTAATTTAGTTTTGGAGAAAATAGTTAGTTTAGCTATCATAGTTTCATAAGATTTATATCTACAATTTAATTTAATGTTGAACAGTTCTTGGAATATTATAACTTCTGAGTTACCGACATCCGCGATTAAAATCCTTTAGCAAACTTAGTTCATCTCATACGATAATCTTATAGGCGGCGCTCTTTGAGAATTATCTGTCATCTTATGGAAATAGTCACGAAATGCCAACATAATCATATTCTCACAGTTCTCTATTTCCTTTTTTTTACGCTACTATGTTGATAAATCTGACATAAAGGGTTTAACATCATAATGATTTTTACGAATATTTTTAGTAGCTATTTTATTTTTCACTGTAGTAATTAAAATACCTAGAAAATTTTAAAGAGATGTCAAACCGTTCCAAATAATGGCGCGGACTGGGATTGGGACTAGAAATTTGCTAGAATTTCGCTTGACCTATATGAACCCTGGACGAGCGATCTGCATTTCAGTTTACCTTAGTTAGGCTAACGAGTCTACTATAAAAAAAGCGAACACGTCTCACAGATCGGTTTTACTTACAAGCAAGACCAGACTTCTGAGGCCTGCCCGACCGAAAAAATCTATTTTCTGCCCGGGATTCGGCCCCAGGACTTCTCGTGTTTAACGTATTGCTACACGTTTAACCATTTAGCTGCAGAGGCGATCAACTATACTTGCTACTTATTTGGATATCCATATTCCTTGAATACATTAGACACGATATGGTTTGATTGAGCTGTGATCACGATATCGATACAGGCCTAGCCTACACCACGCCTTGTGAAAGGAATCACTTTAGTGCAAAAACATGTTTATCCGTAGTTTATTGCCTTATACTAGAAGAAACGAGAGTAACCGACGAGTTAATTGTGTATTGTCGGCAGTTTACGCGGGTAGTTTACATTTAAATAAAACAATTTTAATGGTTTAAAAGGCGAAGTATAAAAGTAAAAGGTAAAATTATTTTGTTTTAATAAATAAAAAATACTTCACATTTTAAAGCGTTAACAGTGTTTTTTTTTTTTGAAATCATCATATTTACAGAATTTGAGATGATTCGTGGATCTCAGTACATCTGTAATTTATAATTTTCTTATATATGTTAAACTAGGATCCTTTGCAGGAACTATTTGAATATACATAGAGATATATATATAGCTAGCTATGCCCAAATATAGGCTACATAAAATATCTAATTCATTTGCGGGGAATTGTATTCGTATGTACAATACATTGCCAGTTGAGGTGTCAAATTTATCGATAAATAAATTTAAAAAAGTTATAAAATTTAGATTGTCTCAAAAGGCGTATTATTGTCTAAACGATTTCTTTAATGACAAGACCGCCTGGCAGTAATATGAATTGCTCCCTAAGTTAATAAATTCACAATGTATTAGTTTATAAGACAAGTTTAAAAAAGCCGGACTGAGTTTCTTGGGTGTTCTTCTCAGTTATGTTGCTCTTTTCAACACTCTGTAGAATCACGACAAACAGACAGACAAACAAAAATAAATTTTGACGAATCTAAATAATTTTAAAGAGAATAAAGTATATTTTATTTTATCGGTGGAATTATTATTATTTTACACATAGTTTTTTTAGCTTTAAATCCGTGTCGTTTCCTTTGCTTTTTTACTCAAATAAATTAATAATTAAAATTAGTTCTTAATTTACTTGAACAATAGAATACGCTTCCCGTGTGTCACTTCTGACAAATGGCAATTAAACATTAACTAACCGTGAAAAGCTTGAAATCGCTCCAGAGATCTGATAGTTGCAAAAAAGTGCACAATGGCTCTGGCATTGTATGGGAAAAAAAAGGTCAAGGTTGTAATGAAGATTATTGCGATGCGCCAAAGTACTGGGTGCTCTACTTAGAATCGCTATACAGCTGTTGCCGGAATATTTTATTCCATATTGACTAATAAGTTTTATTTAAAATATCCCCCGGGTTCGTTTCAAGAAACTCTAACAGTAAACTAAATCATCGAACACAGAGGTCAGATATAAATTAAAGATCGATTATAGATTGAAAGAATTTTACGACACGGCATTCAAAGCGTTCCGTGCCGATGCTCTAACTTATTGAGCTACCGTGTCCAAATCGTCATCTTCGATTTTTTTCAACATATTAATACATGCATCTCTCGTGCAATGTGGATGCCGGTTAAAGACCTTTTTCAATCTATAATCGATTTTTATTTTATATAGTGCCATCGTGTGCAATAACATGTGTAAAATATAAGTTTTTAAAACTCAGATCAGATCTCTCACATAGGAGGGATTGTTAAGAGCGTAGACCCACCACGCTAAATCAGTGCGAGTTGGTGGGTGTGCGACTATAGCCCTGGAATTAATCATGATGTTAACACCTTAATTTTGCTCAGGGTGGTACCACCACATCCTTCTTTCAAACTGTTGATATTAGAAATTATCTTAGCAAATTTCAAATACTGTACTAACACTCAATTTGGTATGGTCATTTGGTAATTTATTTCTTGTGCCCTACACAGTCTATCTTGAATAAAATCTAAATAGAGTTAAGGACAGATAAAATCATTGATAACAGGTCGACTACTTTACATAGGTACTCAACTATGCATGCTTATCAACATCTCTTTACGTAATGTTATGATAATTTAATATTTACACGAGTTTGTAGTGTGTACTACGATGGCGACATACCCTGCACTAATAAGTACTTTTGTCAAGTACTACATACAATGAGTTTCTAAATACTGCGTATTGTGTATTTTGTGTGATGATTTTGTATCAATTACTTAAATTGTAACACTATTATTTTTCAACGTTAGTTCGTTTACGATTAACAAGAATTGTAAAAAAAATATTTATGTTAAAATTGATATCAAACACAATATCAGCGCAGTAGCAATTTATTGGAGTAATATAAAAAATATAAATAAATAAAAAATAAAATGTATTCTTCATATTAACAATACTTTTTTTTAAGGAATTTTAGGTGCGCAGGTCTTAGTTGACCGTTTTAAAAACCCATTATCTTTCGGGATTTACCGTTTATAATCTCTATCGACAACATTACCTTATTACAATTTTTTAAATAATCGATTACCTAAATCCGTAATTTATAAGATAAGAATGGCATTTTTAAATACTTCTATATTATTATTTAATCATTAAAAATACGGTTATAAATAGTATTCTATATCACACGAGTGAAAAAGATATGACGATTAGTCAACCTAAAATGTTTATAATTACAAATACTGTAAAGTTATAAAGCAAAATATATAGAACAATTTTCTATAACGACCTCACGTTTGATGTATTGCAACCGTGGTCATGAGGCCGAGGTACATAAGTACTACCAACTAATATTTCTCGTTTTAGTACTTCCAATTTTTTTTGTAATACTTTATAATAATAATTAATATCTTATTCGAAAACTATATATACGCTATTGTAACTTAACGTTCCTTATAAATGGAATTTTACCTTACGACGTTTTAAAAGCGATTCTCGTCTCCCTTCAATGAAAAGCACTGCGTTCGATTCATGGAAATATGGCGAGTTTTTGTTGCTAGTGCTGTACCCGGATTCCTCACAGGTGCACGACATCCTGTCGAGTGCTAAACCCGGTGTAATTATTGAACATCTGTCGCTTCAGACCGCAGATGTCTATGGACCATTCCGTCCGTTCTATGCGAACCATTCATACAACAAAAGCATTATTGTTATTAACTGCTGTTCGTATGGTGGATAGGAATAAATGGAATTTCATATAGATAGAGTGATTACCTATTTTGTATAGTTGTAAGATATGTATGATTTTGTGACTGTAGAGAGGAATTGACATCTCGTTTTGTGAACACATTCCTGTGTCCGTTTCATTGATCGGATTTAGTTACAGGAGTAGTTAATCAGACTTACCCTACTCGGCCGAAACAATCTGTTGTTTTCCTGGCATTCGAACCTAAGACTTTTTGCGCTTAACGCAATTCTAAATTTTACTATTTAGCTGCAAAGGAGTTAAAGAGTTTAAGTATAAGTAATGTGTTTTATTTTCGTCACAAATGATATCATTAGACTGTTTGAACTTTGTCTTTGAGTAAGACTATTCTTTGAAGTACTTCGTGGATAGGTTCTCAAGGTACTAACATAACTATGTACAAAATCGTTTTTACCATAGA